GAGCTGCGGGGGAAACTCCTGCAGCTGAGGGTGAGACTGGGGACATGGGGACACCTTGGGGACACCTGGGGGACACCTGGGGGACATGGGGACATCAACGGGGACATGGGGACACCACTGGGGACATGGGGACATCAACAGGGACATCACTGGGGACATGGGGACATCATTGGGGACATGGGGACACCTTGGGGACATCACTGGGGACATGGGGACACCTTGGGGACATCACTGGGGACATGGGGACATCAAACTCCTGCCGCTGAGGGCGAGATTGGGGACATCACTGGGGACGTCATTGGGGACATCAACGGGGACACCTTGGGGACATCATGGGGACACCTGGGGGACATGGGGACATCATTGGGGACATCATCAGGGACTTGGCGACATCATCGGGGACATCACTGGGGACGTCATTGGGGACATCAACGGGGACACCTTGGGGACATCATGGGGACACCTGGGGGACATGGGGACATCATTGGGGACATCATCAGGGACTTGGCGACATCATCGGGGACATCACTGGGGACGTCATTGGGGACATCAACGGGGACACCTTGGGGACATCATGGGGACACCTGGGGGACATGGGGACATCATTGGGGACATCAACATTTGGGATAGCCCTGGGGACACTGGGGACATTGATGGGGACACAAAGAGGGACCTGGGGACATTGAAGGGGATGGGGGGAGGGGACACTGCAGGTGTCTGGGGGGGGTGGCCCCAAACTGTCCCCAAACTGTCCCCAATGATGTCCCTGTCCTGTCCCCAATGTCCCCAGTGATTGTCCCCGATGTCCCCAGTGTCCCCACTGATGTCCTCAATGTCCCCAATGATGTCCCAATGTCCCCAGTGTCCCCCCTGATGTCCCCAATATCCCCACTGATGTCCCCAATGTCCCCCCTGCTGTCCCCAATGTCCCCAATGATGTCCCCAATGTCCCCCCTGATGTCCCCAATGTCCCCACAGGCTCTGGAAGTCGCTCACCAGCAGCTGCTGCTCTCGCTGGGGGCGGCCGATGCCACCGGCAACAACAACAACGTCCCCAACAGTGTCCCCAACAGTGTCCCCAACAGTGTCCTCAGTGTCCCCAGTGTCCCCAAGAGTGTCCCCAACAATGTCCCCAACTGCCACAGCACCATCCCCAGTGTCCGCAGCAGTGTCCCCACTGTCCCCACTGTCCCCAGTGTCCCCAGTGTCCCCAGCAGTGTCCCCAGTGTCCCCGAGTGGGCCCTGCCACCCCCCGGCCCCCTCGTGACTTGGAGACTCGGTGACACCGCCAGACTCGGTGACACCGCCAGACACGGTGACACTGGACATGGTGACACTGCCAGACTCGGTGACACCGCCAGACACGGTGACACCCCCGGACACGGTGACACCGCCAGACACGGTGACAACCCCGGACACAGTGACACCCCCAGACACGGTGACACCCCCGGACACGGTGACACTGGACACAGTGACACTGGACACGGTGACACCGCCAGCACAGGTGAGAGCACCCTGAGTGTCACCCCAATGTCACCCCAATGTCACCTCAGTGTCACCTCAGTGTCACCTTTCCCACAGCCCCGTTCCATCCCCATTAATTCCCATTAATTCCCATTGATTCCTCATTAATTCCCCATTAATTCCCCATTAATTCCCCATTAATTCCCATTAATTCCCCATTAATTCCTCATTAATTTCCATTAATTCCCATTAATTTCCCATTAATTCCCACTAATTCCCATTAATTTCCCCATTAATTTCCCATTCATTCCCCATTAATTCCCCATTAATTCCTCATTAATTCCCATTAATTCCCATTAATTTCCCATTAATTCCCACTAATTCCCATTAATTTCCCCATTAATTTCCCATTCATTCCCCATTAATTCCCCATTAATTCCTCATTAATTCCCATTAATTCCCCATTAACTCCCCCATTAATTCCCCATTAATTCCCATTAATTTTCCCATTAATTCCCATTAATTCCCCATTAATTCCCATTAATTCCCATTCCCATTAATTCCCCATTAATTCCCATTAATTTCCCCATTGATTTCCCTGTAATTTTTCCCAAGATTTTTCCTATCAATTTCCCCACTATTCCCATTATTTTCCCCTTTAATTTTCCCATTATTTCTCCTATTAATTCTCCATTAATTTCCCCATTATTCCAATTATTTCTCCCATTATTTTTGCTATTAATTTCACATTATTTCCCCCATTAATTCCCCATTATTCCCATTAACTTTCCCTATTAATTTCCCATTAACTTCCCCCATTATTCCCATTAATTCCCCATTAATTTTCCCATTAATTCCCCATTAATTCCCATTAATTTTCCCCATTAATTTCCCATTAATTTTCTCCATTATTCCCATTAATTCCCCCATTAATTCCCCATTAATTCCCATTAATTTTCCCCATTAATTTCCCATTAATTTTCTCCATTATTCCCATTAATTCCCCCATTAATTCCCCATTATTCCCATTAATTTTCCCCATTAATTTCCCCCGTTATTCCCATTAATTCCCCATTAATTTTCCCTATTAATTCCCCATTAATTCCCATTAATTTTCCCGCTTTTCCCTTTTTTTTCCAGGCTCCGCCCACCTTTAACCCGGGAGAGGGGGGGGAGGGGCTGGAATTTCCCTCCCCTCCCCCCCCAGGAAGGTTTTTCCAGGGAATTCCCGAATTCCCGGACAGATGCACTTTGTTGGGAATTCCCAAATTTTTTTTTCCCGGAAAAAAAATTCCCAAAATTCCTATAAATATGTACGTACGCCCCTCCCCCACCCTGTAAATAGCCCCTCCCCCCTCCGGCCGACAATCGGGGGCGGCACCCCCAAAATCCCGGGATTTCCCCCCAAAAATCCTGGGATTTCCCCCCAAAAATCCCGGGATTTGCCCCCAAAAATTCTGGGATTTCCTCCCAAAAAATCCTGGGATTTCCCCCAAAAATTCTGGGATTTCACCCCAAAAATTCTGGGATTTCCTCCCAAAAATTCTGGGATTTCCCCCCAAAAATCCTGGGATTTGCCCCCAAAAATTCTGGGATTTCCCCCAAAAATCCTGGGATTTCCCCAAAAAAATCCCAGGATTTTCTCCCAGAAAAATCCCAGGATTTCCCCCCAAAATTCCAGGATTTCCCCCCCAAATCCCGGGATTTCCCCTCTATAAATATTATAAATAACAGAGATGGAAACTTGGAAGAATTCCCGAATCTTGGACTCCTTTTTTTGTGGGATTCCGGGTGTTTTTTTATGGGATTGGGGGAATTTTTTGGGATTTGGGGAATTTTTTGGGATTTGGGGGAATTTTTTGGGATTTGGGGAATTTTTTGGGATTTGGGGAATTTTTTGGGATTTGGGGAATTTTTTGGGATTTGGGGTGGGATTTTTTGGGATTTGGGGTGGGAATTTTTATGGGATTTGGGGAATTTTTTGGGATTTGGGGAATTTTTATGGGATTGGGGGAATTTTTTGGGATTTGGGGGAATTTTTTGGGATTTGGGGAATTTTTTGGGATTTGGGGGAATTTTTTGGGATCCAGGCGCTGCCCCTGCCGGGATTTGGGAATTCTGGGATCCAGCCCCGGCCCCAGGGACCCCAAAATGTCCCCAAAGTGTCCCCAGGGACCCCAAAATGTCCCCAAAGTGTCCCAGGAGTGTCCCCAAAGTGTCCCCAGGGACTCCAAAGTGACCCCAAAGGCCCCAAAGTGTCCCCAAAGTGTCCCCAAGGTCCCCTGGGGGAGGAAATCCTGTCCCTGGGGGTGTCACTGTCCCCAGGGGGGGTGACAGTGTCCCCAAGGGGGGTGACAGTGTCCCCAGGGGGGGTGACAGTGTCCCCAGGGGGGTGACAGTGTCCCCAGTGAGGTGTCAGTGTCCCCAGCGAGGTGTCAGTGTCCCCAGCGAGGTGTCAGTGTCCCCAGTGAGGTGTCAGTGTCCCCAGTGAGGTGTCAGTGTCCCCAGGGGGGTGACAGTGTCCCCAAGGGGGGTGACAGTGTCCCCAGGGGGGTGTCAGTGTCCCCAGGGGGGTGACAGTGTCCCCAGGGGGGGTGACAGTGTCCCCAGGGGGGGTGACAAAGCCCAGCCGGGTGACAAAGCTCTGGTTTATTTACAAACTGCTGGGGGGAGGTGGCACCGTCCCTGTCCCCTCTGTCCCTGTCCCTGTCCCTGTCCCCTCTGTCCCCTCTGTCCCTGTCCCTGTCCCCTGCGAGGCCTCGGCCTGGCAGGAGCGGTGTCACCTCCCGATGTCACCTCGGGTGTCACCTCCTGGTGGCACCTCCTGGGTCACATCCGTGATGTCCCCGATGTCACATCCTGGGTGTCTCTGATGTCACTCCTCTGGTGTCCTGTCTCGGTGTCCCCGATGTCACATCCTGGGTGTCCTCTGGTGTCACATCCTGGGTGTCACACGTGTCACTCCTCTGGTGTCCTGTCTCGGTGTCCTCGGTGTCACTCCTCTGGTGTCCTCTGGTGTCACATCCGCGGTGTCCCCGATGTCCCAAGGTGAAGATCTCGTCCTGATCATCTCTGGTGTCCCATTCCAGTGTCCCCAATGTCCCCAGTGTCCCATTCCGGTGTCCCCAATGTCCCCAGTGTCCCATTCCGGTGTCCCCAATGTCTCCAATGTCCCATTCCGGTGTCCCCAGTGTCCCCAATGTCCCATTCCGGTGTCCCCAGTGTCTCCAATGTCCCCAATGTCCCACTGTCACAACGTGGAGATCTCATCCTCACTGTCCACAATGTCCTCGATGTCCCCAGTGTCCCCAGATGTGTCCCCAGATGTGTCCCCAGGTCTGTCCCCAGTGTCCCCAGTGTCCCCAGTGTCCCCAGTGTCCCCAGTGTCCCCGGTGTCCCCAGTGTCCCCAGATGTGTCCCCAGGTCTGTCCCCAGTGTCCCTGGTGTCCCCAATGTCCCCAGTGTCCCCAGATGTGTCCCCAGTGTCCCCAGGTCTGTCCCCAGTGTCCCCAGTGTCCCCGGCGTCCCCGCCGCTGTCACAAGGTGAAGATCTCGTCCTCGCTGTCCCTGAGCGCGGCCGCCCGCGGGGTCCTGGTGAGGGGTCGGGGTCCCAGCCGGGCCCCCCGAGGGGACACAGGGGTGACACCGGGGCCACCCCGGCCCGGCCCGGGGCTGTGGGGACACCGAGTGACGTCACCGGGGCTGTGGGGACACGGGGTGACGTCACCAGGGGACACCGAGTGACGTCACCGGGGCTGTGGGGACACGGGGTGACGTCACCAGGGGGACACGGGGTGACGTCACCAGGGGGACACCGGGTGACATCACCGGGGCTGTGGGGACACGGGGTGACGTCACCAGGGGGACACCGGGTGACGTCACCAGGGGGACACCGAGTGACGTCACCGGGGCTGTGGGGACACGGGGTGACGTCACCAAGGGGACACGGGGTGACATCACCAGGGGGACACCGAGTGACGTCACCGGGGCTGTGGGGACACGGGGTGACGTCACCAGGGGACACCGGGTGACATCACCGGGGCTGTGGGGACACGGGGTGACGTCACCAGGGGGACACCGAGTGACGTCACCGGGGCTGGCCCTGCCACCTCCCCCACTGCACCCCAACCCTGCCCCATTTCACCCCCAAACCTCCCCCACTTCAGTCCCACTTTCACCCCAATTTTATCCCAAATTTCCCCCCAATTTTATCCCAATTTCTCCCCCAAATTCTTCCCATTTTTTTCCCAATTTTTCCCATTTTTTTCCTAATTTTTTCCCATTTTTTCCCAACTTTTCCCCAATTTTTTCCCAATTTTTCCCCATATTTTCCCCAAATTTTTCCCATTCTTTCCCCAAATTTTCCCCAGATTTTCCCCGAATTTTTCCCATTTTTTTCCCCAAATTTTCCCCAAATTTTTCCCATTTTTTCCCCAAATTTTCCCCAATTTTTCCCTGAATTTTCCCCCATTTTTTCCCAATTTTTCCCCAGATTTTCCCTGAATTTTTCCCATTTTTTTCCCCAAATTTCCCCCAGTTTTTCCCATTTTTTTTTTCCCAATTTTTCCCACTTTTCCCCCATTTTTTTCCCACCTGCTCTCCCGGCCCCGCAGCCGCTGCGCCGCCGCCGCCTCCTTGAAGCGGCCGATCTCGGCGTCCAAGCGCCGCAGGAAATCCGAGGCAGAGAGGTCGCGGCGGGAGGGGCTGGGAACGTCCCCGGGATCGGGATCATCCCCGGGATCGGGATCATCACCGGGACGGTCCCCGGGATCGGGACGGTCCCCGGGATCGGGACGGTCCCCGGGATGTTGCCGGGCTCGGGGCCCCGCGGGCTGCGGGATCAGCAGGGTGGCCTTCAGGAAAATGGTGTCCGAGGAGTAGAGGCGGTTGGCGCGCTGGATCTGCTCCATCTGCCGGGATCGACGGGATGGGATGGATCGGGATCCGTGGGATCCGTGGGATCCGTGGGGTCAATGGGGTCGATGGGGTCAATGGGATCCATGGGATCCATGGGATCCATGGGGTCAATGGGATCGATGGGATCGATGGGATCCATGGGATTGATGGGATCGATGGGATCAATGGGATCGA